TCTCTGAACTGATGGACTAAGATTGTTCCCCCACCTTGGCAGAGTCTGAGAAGTAGCCAGAGGGGTGTGGAGAGAGGACAGGGGTGAACTGATGATGGAGTGTTAGCCACCCATTTCAGAATGAGAGGAGGAGACAGATCAGCCTGGAACAGAGCCCTGTGCCCACACTCCTCTGCCGAGCTTGGGGGCAGTGAGTTATTGGTTAAGAATGCTCTGGGAAACAAGCGTGTTAGCTTGTCAGCCCCACCTTATATCAAAAGTGAGCCACAGGAAATGATGTAGCCCCTCCATAAAACGCTGGTATGGCTCTATGTCTGCTTAAATGTTTTGTGTTCTGTCCATATGAACCCTTCTACCCTCAGGTATTCGTAGGGTTCCACACTTGCAGACCAGATGGAAGAATCTGGCTGGAAAGGGCATTCCTATGGAAGGTGTGCTGTTAGAACACAGGCAGATGATTGTTTATCTCAGGCTCTGCGATCCCTGATGCTGGAGGGCATCCTTCCTGAGAGACTAGTTAGGCTTCTCAGTGTTAGGAATTAAAGGTGTACATCTTAAACACCAGACCTTAATCTTGACAGTGCCTAGGTATTCATTAACCTTAATCCTAAAACTCTGAGGCCTTAAAGGGGCATGAACATTTCTGCTTTGTTCTGTTGGGTGGGTGTGTCCACTGCTCCCGCTTCATGTGTGCCTGACCCCACGCTGGGCAGGCTGCAGTGTGGTCTCAGGCCTTCCTCCTGTCCACCCAAGGAAATTGGTGTGTCCCTGCCTGTATTTTAGACAAATGGAGCTCTGCCTTTGAAGTAAGAAAGAATACAGTTCATACCCTGTGCCCAAATAGACATGTCTGAGAGTCAAGATCTCTAGGAGATGGACTATGGTTCTGAAAACTGCAGAGTTTCACAGAGATTCTCTGTGCTTATAAAGATGTGTAAAATGCCTCAGGGTTTAAATCCAGCCCCTCCTAAAGATGAAAGGTTTTGTTTTTTAACTTAAAGACATTGAATTGTATTTAAAATTGTACACACACAAATTGTGTACATTCAATGTATACCATGTGATGATTTGATATACATTGTGTAATGTTTATCACAGTCATATTAACTAATATATTCATCACCACCCATAGTCACCATTTATGTGTGTGGGACAAACCT